TGTTCAAACATAAGGGTGTCCACATGTACTCTTGGCACCAGGACACCCTAGGCTGCAGTTCGATGATCGACTTTGTTGTTGTTTCATCTGGTCTCTGGCTACATGTTTTGGACACTTGGGTGAAGAGAGGGGCGGAGCTGTCAACTGACCACTACCTGATGATGAGCTGGCTCCATTGGTGGGGGAGGATGCTGGTCAGACCTGGCAGACCCAAATATATAGTGAGGGTCTTTCAGAGTCTGCTGTCAGACAAAGCTTTAACTCACACATCCATGAGAACTTTGAACACGTTCCGGGTCTTTTTGGCCTGTGGGACTCTGGAAGCACCGGTAGGTATCAGCAGTGCAAGCAGATTGAGTCTCAGGAGGGCGCTGAGGCAAAAACTCGGGCATGGGAGGAGTTCAGAGAGGCCATGAAAAAAGACTTACGAATGGCTTTGAGGCAATTCTGGTCCACCATCCGGTGTCTCAGGGGGGAAAGCGGTTCTCCACCAACACTGTTTATGGTGGGGATGGTGCGCTGCTGACCTCAACTCGGGATGTTTTGGGTCGGTGGGCAGAATACTTTGAAGACCTCCTCAATTCTACTGATACATCTTCCCATGAGGAAGCAGAGCCTGAGGACCCTGGGTTGGACTCTCCAATCTCTGGTGCAGAGGTCACTAAGGTGGTTAAAAAGCTCCTTGGTGGCAGGGTTCCAGGGGTGGATGAGATTCACCAGGAGTTCCTTAAGGCTCTGGATGTTGTGGGGTTGCGTCGCATGAACATCAGGGGCAGTTCCCCTGGATTGGCAGACCGGAGTGGTGGTCCCCCTATTTAAAAAGGGGACCACAGAGTGTGTTCCAACTATAGGAGGATCACACTTCTGAGTCTCCCTGGTAAGGTCTATTCAGTGGTCCTGGAGAGGAGGGTCCATTGGATAGTCGAATCTGGGATTCAGGGAACACTGGACCAGCTCTACACTGGACAGATGTTAGATAGGTGTTGGACAGACGTTGGACAGATGTTAGGTAGGTTTTGGACAGACGTTGGACAGATGTTAGGTAGGTTTTGGACAGACGTTGGACAGATGTTAGGTAGGTTTTGGACAGACGTTGGACAGATGTTAGACTTCACAGAAGAAGAGAAGAGTTGAAGAGGTTAATCTTTAGGTTTGATGAACCTCAGATACCTTTAACTGGTTTCTTTTGTGGTTCTTCTGGAACTTTCTGGACTTTCTGTGGAACAGGAGGAGGTGGAGGAGGAGCCACCTCCTTCTTCTTCTGTGGTTCTTCTGGAACTTTCTGGAACTTATGTGGAACAGGAGGAGGTGGAGGAGGAGCCACCTCCTTCTTCTGTGGTTCTTCTGGAAGTTTAATAGAAGAAGATGGTTCTGATGTTATGAAGTTCTACAGTCAGCAGAAGCTGCTGCTCTGACTCAGAGGAATATGTTAAAAGATTTACGGGACACAAACAGAACTGTTCAAGGATCAGTTTCTGGGTTTAAAGATCCAGAACTTTGTTAGACTTGAACACACATGAAGACCACCCAGCACTCATGGACAGAGGAGTTAGAGTCTGAAGATGATGAACAAGTCCAGACACACAGGTTCTGTACCTTTTCTCTCAGGTTCCTTTAGTACTGGTACTGGGGCCGGTTCTGGTTTAGTCTTTGGAGCCTCTTTGGGGGCTTAAAGTGATATTCAGATAGTTTTGGATCAAACACAATGGGTCAGAACCGCTCAAGAGTTGCTTCAATGTTTGAAGCTGAAGACAGAAGAGAAACTATCGGACCTGAACACAGAACATAGATTTACCTTTGGATGGAGGTTCCACCGGGGTCGGTTCTGGTTCTGCTTTTGGAGCTGGAGCAGGTTTCGTCTTTGGTTCTGGTTCTGCCTTTGGAGCTGGAGCAGGTTTCGTCTTTGGTTCTGGTTTCGCCTTTGGAGCTGGAGCAGGTTTTATCTTTGGTTCTGGTTCTGCTTTTGGAGCTGGAGCAGGTTTCGTCTTTGGTTCTGGTTCTGCCTTTGGAGCTGGAGCAGGTTTCGTCTTTGGTTCTGGTTTGGCCTTTGGAGCTGGAGCAGGTTCTGGTTCTGCCTTTGGAGCTGGAGCAGGTTTCAGTTCTGGTTCAACCTTTGGAGCTGGAATAGGTTTAGGCTTTGGTTCTGGTTCTGCTCTCTCCATCTTTTTGGGTTCTGCAGGAACCTGAGGTTTGGACTCATCTTCAACACAAACATGAGCTGATGTTAGCGTCTAAAGAGCATCAAGAAGTTCTTGAAAGCAATGAAGATAAAGACTGAAGAAGAACAGGATTATCAACAATCTGAAAGAAAAACTAACACCAACAGAACCAACAGAACCAAACACAACCGAACAGAACCAGACAAGGTTCTGAGCTGAAGGTCTCTGAACACAGAGAAGAAGTACCAACCTTTAATTGGCAGCTCTGGTTTCTCAGCCGGTGGAGCAGGAGCAACAAATGGCTTCCTCATCTCTTCTGGTTCTGGACATGTTAGAACAGAATTAACTCAAAGAACTGAATCAGAACCGAACCGGAMTGAACTGGCCCGGCCCAGAAAGAACAGTGACTGTAAGGACGTGAATGTGAAAATGATACCTTTGGCAGCTGGAGCTTCCTTCTTCTCTGGGACTGAAACTACAGGTACCTTTTCCTCCACTGGCTCCCTGACCTCCAGTTCTGTAAGAAGAAACCTGATGTCAGAGTGTGGAACCTTACAGAACCAGTTTTTATTAGAACTAAACCAGGAACCAACAATCTGTACCTCTCTGACGTGTCGGCTTCTCTTCAGGCTTCTTCTCAACTTACAGATTTAAAAACAAGAAGGATGTTAGAAACAAGACCAAGAACGGAGACCACTGCAACACTCTGCACCTGTCTGGACTCTTCAGGGGACCACCAGAGACCTACATATAGACCCTCAGCTGTGAGGACTGATACCACCCTAATCACTTTAACTAACTAGGCAGCATAACGGCTCAGTGGTTAGCACTGACGCCTCACAGCAAGAAGGTCCTGGGGTCGATCCCTGGTTTGGACCTGGGGTCTTTCTGAGTGGAGTTTGYTTGGGTTTTCTCCGGGTTCTCCTGTTTCCCCACCCCTAAAAACATGTACAATAGGTTGCCTTCAGGCCTCCCATGAACAAGAAATCTGTGATCTCAACAAGGCCTAATTAAATAAACTGAAGCCCCTCCACCTCCAGAACCTCCAGCTCTCACAGCTACAGTGTTCCATCTGCTCCCTACCCTCACTACTCTTGGCTAACTGGTTTAAAGCAGATGAACAGAGAAGTTCAGGATGTTTAGCTGCAGCACTCAATGGTTTGGCTACATCTTACCTTTAGCTGGGATTTCCTCCCTCAGTTCTACTTTCCTGGTCTCCAGTGTCTCCTCCACTTCAACTCTGGCAGCTGAAAGACACGAAGGACAGAGACGATAATCATCATCATCATCATCATCATGAGACACTTTTGTGTTATCAGAAGCACATCGTTAGAAACACCTGCTGGATCCAAAGGTTGTAGAAGTGTTAAAAAAGAAAGAAGAGGTTAGGTTAGGTTAACCCTGAGAGCAGATTGAAAGAGGTTATTAACGGTGAAGAAAGAGCAGTCAGTACCTTCGATCTGTAAAACCTGCTGGGTTCTGGTCTCCTCAGTCCAGCTCTGAACCTCCACTGAAGGAGAACCCACCACAGGAAGGACAGGAGACAGAGACAAACGCGTCAAACAAACATCAACATCAAATCCAACGAAGAGTCAGGATTAGAGTTAGAGAAGGATCAGGGTGAAATACTTGAGCTGATCTTTAATAATCTGAGAAACACAATCTGTTTTTAATCCTCATTAGTTCAGGTCTGAAAGAAGCTGCTTCTCCATGTTTACGTGTGAGGATGAGGATGTTGTACCTTTCTGCTGCACTTCCTCTTCATATTGAAAGGAATATTCAGACGATTCTTGTGGAGAAGAACAGAAATGTTTTAGTTCCTCGTGTGAAAATCAAACTTTGAGTTTAGAACAGATGTTTTATTCTAAATGTTTTATTTCTGTAACTTGGAGACGAGTACCTCTCTGTTCCATCTTTTCTTCAAACTGATGGAATTCAGTGGATTCTTTAAAAGACAAATGACCATAAGCTCTGGTAAGAACCAGGAAGGAGTTTGAGTTTTGAGTCTCTGCAGTTAAAAGCTTCTTACCTTGGATCTCCATTAATGAGGGCACCTCTGGCCTCTGAACCGAGGAGTCCGGGAAATCTACAGAACATCCAACACCAATCAGTTTAAACTTTATTTTGACAAAGAAACCAACAGAAACGATCAGTCTGGTTCACTTATGATAAAAAAATCTAAATTAAAAGTTGTAATTTTTGTCTTTTAGAGTCCTCAGGTGGCTCTAGGACTTAACATTTATTTGTTTGTTAGAGACTAAATTGATGTGAATCTGCTGGTGCAACATTTGCCTGCTGACTGAAGGTGTTGTACAGAAGCAACACTCACCTGTTGGCACCATGGCTAATTCGATTTCTGTAAAAAGAATAAAGTTGGGGTTAACCTCTGAAGCAGCAAGAGGCTGAAACTGAAGCACAGAAGGTGCAGCCGGACTAAAAACTGTACCTTTGGCAGATAAATAAAGCTCAGCTGTGCTCTTAGCCTCTCCTCTGGGCTCCAACCTCACAATGACTGAGTACACGCCTACATGGGATTAGTAATGAACACTCAGGTCACAGACAACACAAGAGGAGACAATCTGAGGGCTTTCAGGAGGCCTCTGGGGCTACAGCAGCTCTACACACCTTCGTCTTCGATGGTCACATTTCGGATGACCATGAAATGTCTTCGGCCCTCACTTGTGAAGTTGTACTTAGGGCTTTCTTTCAGTTCCCAGGTGTCTTTGTACCACGAAACAATCGCGTTGTCGAAGGACACTTCGCACTCGAAGGTGGCCGACTGCCGTTCATGGACTTCGATGTTGTGGATGCGTTTGGTGAAATGAATTTGTTCGGCTAAAACAGATACAGATGTGAGTGGGTAAACTGTTAGCCTTTCTCTAACACAACATCCACACGGTTAGAAATGACCATCAGATGAAGGGTGGTGATGGGATGACTGGCAGCTGGGGGACCATGTGGTCAATGTAAGAAGACAAATACTGAGATGATGGAGGACGTTTTTACAAAATGACGGTGAAGAATATTAAGAGAATGAGACACATCCAAGAAGAAAGTGAAAAAAGAGATGAAATCTGATGAATTCAAAGAGGTAAGTAATCCAGCATGTCTACAGGAAGGTTTCCAGGTACGAACCTTCCACCCTGAGATCCGCCGAGGACTCCAGGTGTCGGTACCTGCAGGAGTATCTGCCCTGGTCTTCAGGCTTCAGGTCTCGGATCAGAAGCTTCTGAACCTTGTGTTTGACCTCAGATGAGTACCTGCCCTTCATCTCTAACTGCAGGCCGTTTTTAAACCACTGAGCCTGAACGTTTGGGACGGACAACTGACAAGACAGCGTGCAGGRCTGGCCTTCCTTACCCGAGGTGTCCTCCAGGTGCTTCTCCACCTCCACTTCTGAAACACAGACAGAGGAACATTCACTGTCAGTCTCTAAGGTCCAACACCACACAAAGACCTCAGAGTCCTGAGCAGGTCCTCAGAGACAGATTTGAAAGGTTTGGTTCCTCGGTACTGACCCATGAYGGTGAGCTTGGTGCTGGAGATGTGGGGTCCACACACCACCCGGTAGTTGCCCTGGTCCGACAGCTGGCACTTCTTGATTCTGAGCAGGTGACGGTCCCCACTGATGCTGATGTCGTATTTGTCCCCGGTGTCTAGTTTCTGCGTGCCCTTGTACCAGGACAGCGTGATCTCTGGGTAGTTGATCTTGATCTCGCACTCAAACACTGCGTCCTCGTTAGTGAAGACAGACTGGTTGGAGATGTCCTTCACTACAGTGACAGGCTGCAGGACGAACAAGACAAAGACAGTACAGGTACTTTACTCTCAGTCAACAGATTTTATTTTATCTTTAAAAAACTTGGACTGGGTTTGTGTGAACTCCTCCTGACCTCCGTCCTCTCCATCCTCTTCTGCAGGTCAGCTACCAGTCGAGCCATATCCTCATCAGACTCTCTGTCTCCACGTTCCACTTCCTGTCAACAGCAACAACATCAATCAAGTGTCCAGACAGACAAACACGGAGGCCTGGATGGAACGGGCAAGCCTCACCGGTCTTCCACTTTCCTCAGCCTTTTCTCTCTTGAGCTGCTCGATGGCCTGCAGCAGGCCTCTGTAGTCTGTGATGCCGTACATTCGGGCATACTTCTCGTACTCTTTGGGGTCTACATTTCTCAGCAGCTCAACGATGTCGATGTCCTTCTCCTCCTGTGGACTCTTCTGCTTTGATGGTGTCCTGGGAGAAGTGAGACAGCAGGAGTATATAAAGATGGACTCTGCAGCTGAGGAATAAAGGTCTTTGATCTGATAAACTCACTTCTTCAGTTTAGCTCGCAGGTCTCCTTCCAGTTGCGGCGCTACTTTCTTGTCGCCCACGTGCATGTCGGCGCTGCACTCGATCTCGCCATGCTTGTTGGAGGCCACGCATCGGTACTGACCCGAGTCCGACTTGGTCACCTCTTTGATCTCGAGCTTGGCCTCCCGACCCTTCTGCTGAATGGAAATGCGGCCGCCGTGCGTCAGCTGTCGCCATTTTCCCTTCATCCACTTCACGCTGGGGATGGGGTCCCCGCCCACCTTGGCGATGAAGGTGGCAGTCCCCTCTGTGGACAGTTTGGACGGTTAGGACAGGAACAAAAAACAGTGTACAGCTGTCCCTCCATGTTTGGGTCTTACTCTCTGTGACATGTGCAGCTTTCGGCTCCTCAATGAAAAACAGGTTCTCCAGTTTTTTAGTGGGAGCTGCTGCTGGAGCTTCAGCAGGAGGTGGAGCTGCTCCTGGTTTCTCTGAAACACAAAGATATTTCTTCAAAAACACTGGATAATACTTGTATTAAATGAATAGACAGTGTCCAGGTTTTACCTTTGACTGTAACTTTGGCCTTGCAGAACTCGCTGCCAGCGTCGTTGGTAGCCTTGCAGAGGTAATCACCAGCATCGTGTTTGGAGGCGGAGCTGATGTCCACGCAGGCCGTCCCCTCAGAGAAGCTGATCCTGATGCTGCCAGCTGATGTCAGCTCCCTCCTGTCCTTCATCCACTGGACCTTCAGAGGAGGAGATCCACAGACGTGACACCTGAGGCACAGCTTGTCACCTTCGTCTACGCTCACCGCTTTGAGCGGGACATCGAACACTGGAGGCTTCTTGGATTCTGCAGAGTAGAAAAAACAGTTCTCAGCTGGTTCCACCAGGGTCAAGATCAAAAAACTGTCAGACAAATCAGAAATAAATTAAAGTTACAAACACTGGATGAAATTGACAAACAAATGAAGCAGACATTTGAGCAGAGCTAAAGCCTCTAAAAGGATGGAAAGTTCAGGTTCTTAGAGAGGGAGTTTTCTGCTGTATTAAATAATCTACATCTGTTTTAGAACAGGAACTAAAACTGCTCACTCTTCCTGAACGTTAAACCTACCGATGATTCCCACAGTGACATCACAAGAAGTTCTTCCGGCTTCGTTGGAGGCGTGGCAGGAGTACCTGCCACTGTCTGACACCAGGCTGCTCTTAATGCACAGAACCGCCACGTTGCTCTTAAAGCTGATGTCATATTTGTCTGAAGTCAGGATCTCCTTGTCGTCTTTGAACCAGCTGACCGACATGGGCTGGGATCCGGTGACCCGGCCCTCGATTTTCACCAGCTTGCCCTCCATGTCCTCGATGTTGTCTGAGGGTTTCTTGGTGAACATTGGAGGATTTTTGCGTTCTGAAATGAAGAGGAGCAAACACTGAAGTTGTTTTCTGCCTGTCTAGATGGTTTTAGAAGAGAACCTTGATTAAATACCTTTAACGGTGATATCAGCCGAACACGAGTCCTTCCCCATGTCATTAGAGACATGGCAGAAATACTTCCCTGTGTCAGCTTTATCTGCCTTCAGAATAGTCAGGTGGGGAGTATTGTCTTCACAGCTGAGCTTATAATTTCCACCAGAGCGAATGTCTTTATGGTCTTTGGACCATGTGACTTTCATAGGGGCGGAGCCAGTCATGTGACACTCCAGTTCAATGTTGTCACCCACGGTCACCTCCAGAGGAGACATCTTCCTGTCAAAGACAGGAGCGTATCTGGGTTCTGCAGAGGCGGGACAAGAAGAAAAGAAAGGACAGTTTTATACGGGTCCAGATGACAGACTCTGAGGTCTGCAGACAGAACCAGGTACCAGAACAGACCTTGCATGGTGAGTTTGGCTCTGCAGGAGGCTGARCCCACACTGTTGGAGGCCACGCAGGTGTATTCTCCAGAATGTCTCATCTCTCCACGGCTGATCTGCAGCACAGCAGTGTTGTCGTCGTACAGCATGGAGAACTTGTCTCCTTCAGTCAGAGGCTCGCCGTCTTTCAGCCACGACACCTCGATGGGCGATGAACCAGCAACACGGCACTCGAACCGGACCGGCTGGCCCTCAGTCTCCTGAAGACTTGTGATCTTCTTGGGGAAGGATGGCGGTGTTTTGGCCTCTGAAGGAAACAAAGACTCAACAATGAGCAGTTAGATCCTGATATAAGGACAAACCTGCAATAAGTTAGAAACCAGGTGTTACCCAGCACGTTCAGTCTGCAGGTGGAGGAGGCAGAGCCAATCTTGTTCTCTGCCTTGCAGGTGTACTCCCCAATGTCAGCTTTGGTGGCTTTGCTGAGCTTCAAACAGGCCACGCCCTTTGAGTACTCCAGCTTGCAAGTAGGACTGGAACGGACTTTACCATCGGCCTTGAACCAGGACACCTTGATCTCAGGTGTGCCTGCCATATGACACTTCAGACACACAGCATCACCTGCCGTAACCTCCATGGGCTCCAAAGATTCCACAAAGTATGGCGGCTCTGTTGAAGTGAAAACAAAGCTGAGACTTGACACCTGCTGATCAGAGACGGTACTGCACCGTCCAGAACTCTGATTCAGAGACAGTACTGCACCATCCAGAACCCTGATTCAGAGATGGTACTGCGCCATCCAGAAGTCCGATTCAGAGATGGTACTGCACCGTCCAGAACTCCAATTCAGAGGTGGTATTGCACCGTCCAGAACCCTGATTCAGAGTCGGTACTGCACCATCCAGAACTCTGATTCAGAGACGGTACTGCACCATCCAGAACTCCAATTCAGAGACAGTACTGCACTGTCCAGGACTCCGATTCAGAGACAGTACTGCACCAACCAGAACTCTGATTCAGAGACAGTACTGCGCCGTGCAGAACTCTGATCAGAGACGGTACTGCACTGTCCAGAACCCTGATTCAGAGATGGTACTGCACTGTCCAGAACCCTGATTCAGAGAAGGTACTACATCGTCCAGAACTCTGATTCAGAGACAGTACTGCACCGTCCAGAACTCTGATCAGAGACGGTACTGCACTGTCCAGAACCCTGATTCAGAGATGGTACTGCACTGTCCAGAACCCTGATTCAGAAAAGGTACTACATCGTCCAGAACTCTGATTCAGAGACAGTACTGCACCGTCCAGAACTCTGATCAGAGACAGTACTGCACCGTCCAGCACTCTGATCAGAGACAGTACTGCACCATCCAGAACTCAGATCCAGAGATGGTACTGCACCATCCAGAACCCTGATTCAGAGACAGTACTGCACCATCCAGAACTCTGATCAGAGAAGGTACTGCACTGTCCAGAACCCTGATTCAGAGATGGTACTGCACTGTCCAGAACCCTGATTCAGAGAAGGTACTACATCGTCCAGAACTCAATTCAGAGATGGTATTGCACCGTTCAGAACCCTGGTTCAGAGTCGGTACTGCACCGTCCAGAACTCTGATTCAGAGACGGTACTGTACCATCCAGAACTCTAATTCAGAGACAGTACTGCACTGTCCAGGACTCCGATTCAGAGACAGTACTGCACCATCCAGAATTCTGATCAGAGACGGTACTGCACTGTCCAGAACTCTGATTCAGAGACGGTACTGCACCATACAGAACTCTGATTCAAAGACAGTACTACACTGTCCAGAACTCTGATCAGAGACGGTAATGCACTGTCCAGAACCCTGATTCAGGGAAGGTACTGCACTATCCAGAACCCTGATTCAGAAAAGGTACTACACCGTCCAGAACCCTGATTCAGAGAAGGTACTGCACCAACCAGACCCCTGATTCAGAGACGGTACTGCACCGTCCAGAACTCTGATTCAGAGACAGTACTGCACCATCCAGAACTCTGATTCAGAGACAGTACTGCACCGTCCAGAACTCTGATTCGGAGATGTTTTCAGTGAAACCTTGAGTCAACTTTAACATGTAAAGAGAAACAAAGAGCAGGACTCACCCAGGATGGACACAACGGCTTCACTCGTGTCTTTTCCAGCATCGTTGGACACTTGGCAGCAGTAGAGCCCTGCAGCCTCCTTGTCGTCGGTACTGAGACACTCCAGGATGCAGGAGCGTTCTGTTGTGGTGATGTTGTATTTGTACGAAGCAAAGATCTGCTGACCATCTTTCAACCAGCTCACTGTGATCTTTGGAGTTCCAGTGTAGGAACACTCCAGAGTCAAAGGTTTGCCCTTTTCCACCGAAACGTCCTTCAGCTTCTTAGAGAAGGCTGCCGGCTCTGAGACGCAAAAACAAACAGCATTTAGTCTGAATATTCACACAGTGACTGATCAGGATCCCCCACACCTCCATCCTATAAAAGGTTCCACAGGCACCAGAACCAACCTGTACCACCAACCCAAAGATCACCTTTCTACAGGTTCAGCTTCTCGCAATATTTTTTAATTAGTTATACGTCCTTTACAACCTTTAATGATGGAGCTCTGATGGTTCTTTATCACCTTGTCACAGGCTGTGTCTCAATTCATGGTTGCAGCAGACATCAGTTGCTTACATTACTGCCCTGTGCCGTAGGCTGGCCCAACTTGTAGGTGCCTAATGTGGCCGACAAAACCCCGAAGACATAGGCTGCATCTTAGTATCCTATGTAGCCAATGATATCCTAGAATTCATTTTGCCGTCAACAAATTAAACAAAAAAACAAAGATGGCAAAGGTTTTCTTTTTAATTTATTTTATGGCAGAGTTTGGAAAATTATTACGGACCAAACAATTTGTTTTTAAATATAAGTTTAGCAACTTAGCTGCTGAAATCCCAGCTGCAACGAGATGTTAAATAAAATGCAGTTACAAGTATACTGGAGCTAACCCTAAATTATTATCACTTTTTATTCATTTACTCATAACGTTTTTCTAATAAAATTGAATTTTGTGAAGTTATACTTTGGAAAAACAACTGAAGCATGAATATATCACCATGTTAATGAGGCAGCATGTGGTCACATTAACATACGTCTTCCGTAGACTAGACCGTCGCATTTCACAGCCGTTTATGGAGCCGACACTGGCAGTCTATGGCCCACATTGAGTGTGGCCTGCGATCTACGTGGGCTGCAACCCATGATTTAAGACACATCTGTCAGACCAACCTTAGAGAGAACCTGTTTCCTGTTTCCTGTCAGACTGACCTTTGACGGAGAGGTTGACAGCAGAGCTTTCCTTCCCGGCGTCATTCATGATCTGACAGGTGTACTCTCCAGTGTGAGATCTGTTTACATTGAAAAGCTCCAGGGTGACTTGGTTATCCTTTAGAGAGAAGGTGCAGTCCTTCCCTGGCAGCATCTCCTTGGTTCCTCTGAACCACTTCAGTTTGAGAGGTGTGCTGCCCTTCACCATGGCTGAGAATGTCACGTTGGAGCCGGGCATGGCCTCTATTGGCTGCAGCGGAACCACGAAGGATGGAGGTTCTGAGAGGAAACACAAAAATCAAACATGGCGGGAGAAGGTGGGAGTTCAGTTTAAACAGAACCAACCTGAACGAACTGAACCTAAAGTCAGAAAGGTAAAAGACAAGATAAATTTAAATAGACCATCTTTGAGCCATTTTCTTCCTCTAGCAAGAAAATGTTTATCAGCARTTCAGACCTTTGACAGCCAACGTGGCTGAAGTCTCACAGGATCCTGCCTTGTTGACAGCTTTACATTTATAAACTCCAGAGTCCGGCAGCTTCAGGTTGGGAACTCTGAGTGTGCAGCTGTTGTCGCTGAATGAAACCTCGTGGTTCGGCCCACTCTGGATCTCCTCGCCATCGTGGTACCAGGAAATGGTAAAAGGTGGGGAGCCTGAGACTTTACACTCCATCTCTGCAGCTTCTCCCACAACCATCCCACAGTCCTTCAGCTTCCTGGTGAAGCTTGGAGGAACGATCTTATCTGTGTGGGAAACAAATCCATCACAACGGTTCAGTCGAAAACATTTCAGTTTCTTCACCATTTCAAACATCTGAAGACCAACATCAATCATCTTTAGTCCAGCATAAAGAATGAAAACACCAACCTAAAACAGTCAGGTTAATTTTACTCAGGTCCTTCCCGACTTGGTTCATGACCTCGAACGTGTATTCTCCTGAGTCCAGTTTCTCAGCATTGACCACGTTCAGGCTGGAGATCATTCGAGAGAAGGAGATCTTGTATTTCCTCCCAGACGCCAGTTCCACGCCATCTTTGAACCACTTGGGGACAAGCTCCGGGGTCCCACACACCTTGACCTCCAGGGCAGCAATRTCTCCCGCCGTCACGCTCAGAGCGTCGGGTTTGTCAATGATCTTAGCAGGTTCTGTGAACAGCAGAAAGGAAGCAGAACATGTTTTAGTCAAAACTGCAGAAGAAGGCTTGGTGAMGCAAACTGAAAGAGAAAGAGAGAATTACATTCTTACAAACCTAGAACAGTCAAGTTAGCGAAACACTCCACAGTCCCAGCATCGTTTCTGAGCTGGCATGTGTATTTCCCTGCTGTGGTTGCATCAGTTTTAAACACTTTTAGAGCGACCTGGTTGTTTTCAAAGGTGATTTTCCTGTTGTCACTGTCCCTGAGAATGTGATCCTTGTCCTGAACCCAGGACACAGTAATGGGTTCAGAGCCTGTAACAGTGGCCATAAGGGTCACCTCCTCTCCCAGTATCACTGTCATGTTTGACAGTTTCTTCACAAACGACGGCGGCTCTGAGGAGAGGAGACAAACAGCGCAGAAGGGACAGTCAGCAAAGTGACAAAGTGACCTGAAGATCTGCTGAAGACCAGCGCAGTTTCTACTGACCTCTGAGTTTAACGGACGTGTTGCAGCTCTCACTTCCTACACTGTTCGACACTTTGCACTCATATTCTCCGGTGTCTGAAGCCTCTATCCCAATGACATGCAGCGTCGCTGAGCTGCCTTCGCTCACCATCTTAAACTTCCTGCTCTCCATCAGAGGTTTCCTGTCTTTGAACCAGGTGACCTGGAATGGAGCCGAGCCACTCATCTCGCAGTACAAGCTAACATCCTTACCCCTCAGCCCCTCGATGGGCTGGGGTACTTTCACAAAGGATGGGGGGTCTATAAAAAGATCAGGAAATCGTTACAGAGGAAGAAATGGGGGAATTATTTATAACCAAAGCTTGATCCTGACATCCGTAACAGCAGAGTGAAGCTAAATCAAACCTCTGTATGGTTATTTAGACTGGTTGCTAAATTTATGGCTCATAAAAAACCTGAGCAGCATCTGATGTCGAGTTTAAATAATTCAGATGTCTCAACATCAGTTGCTTCCAAAATGTTTGTGGTCATTTATAAAACATCTGAGATGTGAGGGAAAAAWTTTTTAAATTAAGCCATTAGTGGATTTCAGTTAGAGCTGCTTTATTAATCTTTGAAATTTTTAGTTTGTATTAGTTCAGTTGTAGAAGTCGTGGGACTTCGGTGATTTTGTAGCTTCAGCTGAGGTTTATCCACTCAGAGCATTAAAGTCAGATTCATTTATTTATGTCTTTCTTTTTTAGGATGGGATGATTGTACAACATACAACTTTTATTCATTTTTCAAAACAAGTTTGAATTATTAAGGATTTTTTTATCCACATTGTCAAATTTATACATATAGGCTCGATTACCCCTCTGCCACCTTAACATGGTGGAGGGGTTTGAGTTCCCCTGTGGTCCCACAATTTAGAACCCTTGATGAAATGGAACCACAACCACACTGGAAACCTCGCCTGGAAAAGGGAAACGGCACCTCCCTGGAGCCAGGAACTTGCCAGCAAGTGGTCAGATCTTGGCTCCTGGGGCTTGGGAAGGCCAATCACAAAAGGACTACAGGAGGCCACCTCCATGTGAACCCATCAAGGTTGGGTGCAATGCATGCCAGGCAGCAGGTGAGGGAGGGTTCCTGGCCATGCAGATTCCTGGCAGCAGAGACTGGCTCTAGGGATGTGGAACATAACTTCACTCATGGGTAAGGAGCCAGAGCTTGTGCATGAGATTGAGTGTTACCATCTAGATGTAGGGCTCACTTCTACTGACAGCTTGGGCTCTAGAACCCACCTCCTGCAGAGGGGCTGGCCAGTGAATGAGAGGGTTGCCTCTCGTGCTGCAGGAGGGAAGGTTCTGACTGTTGTTTGTGTTTATGCACCAAACAACAGATTATCCAGCCTTTTTGGAGTCTTTGGATGGTGTCCTGCAAGGGGTGCTGTCTGGAGACTCCCTTGTTCTGCTGGATGAGTTATGTTCAAAAGGGGTGATTGGGAATAATGGCCTCCCTGATCTGAACCTGAACAGTGTTCTGGACTTCTGTGCTAAGTAAGGGTTGTCTCTAAAGAACACTATGTTTGGGCATAGGGTAGTCCATAAGTGGACTTGGTACCAGACCACTGGTTAGGCCAAAGGTCGATGATCGATTTTGTAATTGTGTCGTTTGCTCTGTCGTCTGACCTGTGGCCCTATGTCTTCAACACTCGGATAAAGAGAGGCAGAGCTGTCAACTGATCACCACCTGGTGGTGTTGGAGGTTTCCAGACCAACCAGGTAAACCCCAGTGTATAGTGAGGGTGAACTGAGAACCAGCAGAGTTTTTCACATGTCCAGGGGGAGGTTGGGGACATGGAATCCGAATGGGCCATGTTCAGGGCCTCCGTTGCATATGCAGTTTCAAGGAGCTGTGGCCTGAAGGTCATTGGTGACTATTGCGATGGCAACCAAAGGACCAATGAAGGCTGTCAGGCTGAATGAGACCTTCTGGACTTGGCTTTCATGATTTAAAGAACCAGATACTGGATAAAAGCAGCCAAAATGAGCTTCCTTCGTAGGGTGGCCAGGCTCAGCCTTAGAGATAGAGTGAGGAGCTCCATCATCTGGGGGGAGCTCGGAGTAGAGCCGCTGCTCCTCCAAATTGAAAGGAGTCAGCTTAGGTGGTTCATCTGATTAGCATGTCTCCTGGATGCCTCCCTTTAGAGGTGTTCCCAATGGTAGGAGTCTTTGGGAAGACCCAGGACTCGCTGGAGGGATTATGTATCCTCTATGGCCTGGGAATGCCTCGGGGTTCCCAGGATGAGCTGGAAAGTGTCACTGGGGAGAAGGAAGTCTGGGTTTCTCTTCTGGATGGATAAGTGGAAGTGATGAAGATGGAGGCTTCACTAATATTTGGGTAAATATCCCTCAGCAGGTGTCTCCTGCCCTTTCTCTTCTTCAGAACTATTAGAGTTGGTTGGTTTCAGATCCAGCTTCTAAACTTTTATTCAAGTTGAGGTCAGTGGWACGTCAAATATGTCTAAGTTTAAACTGTCCAGCTGTTGGTTTGATGGGACGTTGAAGAGTCTGGAAGTAGTCCTCCATTATTCCATCTGTGTGATGGACCAGCACCACAGCATGACACTACCACCGCCATGCCTGACTGTTGACACCTCCAAACATCTTTCTTGTCTCTGTGTCCAAACAGCTCAATCCTTGTCTCGTCTGACCATTTTAATGTGACAACAACAACAAAAATAATAATAATAATAATAATAATAATAATAATAATAATAATAATAATAATAATAATAATAATAATAATAATAATAATAATAATAATAATAATAATAATAATAATAATAATAATCCATCAGAACTGGTTACTGATTTGATAAATCAGGTTGATATTAAGATTCTTGGATGGCTTTCCTGATTGAATATTTGTGGACTAAAAACTGGGCCTGAAACAATAAAACTAACCACTTTAACTGAGGTCTACCAGTTCTGTCAGGACAAAGAGGAAGAAGAGGACTGGCCAATACGACCCACTGAGGGACATTTCAATCTTCGTGGACTCTATGGATATATCTGAGCCTGTATGTATAATTTTGACCAAGCATGGATAAAAATAAATAAATAAACTCAAACTTGTTTAAAATTAAATTGCCGTTTGTTGTAAAATAATTCTATTTTGGAAAAAGAAAAGTTCAAATAARTTATTTGAAGCCCAGAATGAATCTTTATGCAGATGATGAAACTTGTGACTCAAACTATCATCCCATTTGAGTGAAAGTTCAAAAATCAAGATGGCAGATTTTAAYGACGCTACAACTAAGATGATTTAAATGATTTAATCAGATGGTTGTGTTAGCTCTTAGTATGTGTTAGGATGTAAGATGTATTAATAGAAAGTTATTTTTTCTGAAACTCAAGTGTTTTCCACACAAAAACTACAGATAAATCCTGTGGAGTTTGATGAGACAATTGTCAGGAATGGTGGAATTTGTGAAAAAGTTCCCAATGAACTGATTGCTGGAGGGTTATTTATTAGAAAGTGTAGAGATAAGTTTGGTTAGTTATGAGGTGTTTCTCAGTGTTCTGCTGGAGTTTAGATGCTTTAAAGATGTTAAACTACAGATTTGACAGTGAATGTGTTTAAAAGGGAGAATCAGTCAGCTCACTGAGGAAGAGGGTTGGGACCACTCAGTTACTGGTGAAGATGTTAGAATATAAATAATATTTGGTTAAAGAGTGGCTGAGGGGGAAAACATTAGCATCTCAGCAGAAGAAAGAAAGGTGAAGACAAGAAGATCTGGTGGGATTTCAGCATCAGGACAGAAACAGGAACCTAGTCCAGCTGTTACGGGTATCAGCTTCAAGCAGAGGCACTGAAACAGGAAGTGACTGAGGCTGACCTTTCACAGTAAGAGTGGTGCTGCAGCTCACACTGCCAGCATCATTCTGAGCTTCACAAGTGTAAACTCCATCATCATCAAAGGTGCTGGACAGCAGCTCCAGGACTGCCACCGAGTCAACAAAGCCAGTCCTGCAGGACCCCCCCTCTGAGACCCTGGTGTCGTGTTTGTACCAGGTGGTCTTCAGKGGGGCAGAACCACTGACTTTACACTCCAGTCTGAGTGACTCACCCCGCTTCACAAACTTAGTGGCAGGGAGTTTCAGCACAAACTCAGGTGGTTCTGGAAACCAAAACACAGACATGTGAGCAGCTGGGAGCAGAGAGGAACATTTAACAAGATGCAGGATGTGAGTGAGCCGACGATGAGGGGTTAACAGCTGATGCAACACAAAGACCACCAGACGAGTAAAACACTTCACAGATTAACCTGAGGAGCAGAACGAATGAGTTCAACAAGTCTGAAGCCATGAAAGAGTTGATTTAGAAAATAGAAATCTAACCTTTGACCGTTAAATCTGCACTGCAGCGTACAGAACCAGCATCATTGCTGACTTGGCAAGAATAAACTCCAGTCTGAGCTACAGCAACTGAATAGAGCTCTAAGAAGCAGGACGTCTCATCCAGTCCTGTGAAACAGCTGGGCCCAGTCATGAGCTCTGTGTCCTCCTTGAACCATCTGACAGTGAAGGGCGGCGTGCCTTTAAATGTGCTTCTGAAGCGGACCGTGGCGCTGGGCAGAGCCACCTGACACTCAGGCAGCACCACAAAGCTGGGCGGCTCTGAAGACGATAAAATAAAGCAGGTTAAAGAGCTACTCACCTCTGTTTCAGGACCAGTGGAGCTGAAGAGTCTGACCTTTGACCAGGAGGGTTCCACTACATTCACAGCTTCCCGCTGCGTTCGTCAGCTTACAGGAGTAAGACCCTGCATCACTCAGCTCAAGCTGCTCCATTTCCAAACACACAGAGTTGTCCTGCTGAAGGACTTTGTGTTTGACACCACTGGAGATTCTCCTGCCATCTTTCTGCCACTCAACAGAGATGGGCAGGGAGCCAGATATTTGACAACAGATCTGAACAAAGGAGCCCAAAATCTCCTGCATGTTTACGAGAGGTTTGATGAAGCTCGGGGCAATCACTTGTTCTGTCACCAAAACAACAGGAAGAGGGTTAAAGGAGTTTATGGGTCAACACGTGGCTCTGGACCACTGCAGATGTTAGTCGCACCAACCTAAGACCACCACTTTGACTTTACAGGAGCAGCGGCTGATGTGGTTCCACACCTCCAACACGTACTCTCCTTCATCTGCTGTCTGAGCAGCCTGGATCTTCAGGCTGCTGATGTGCTTCTCAAAGCTCAGCTTGTGCTGCCTGATGGACTGCAGCTCCCTGCCATCCTTCAGCCACCTCACCTTCAGCTCAGGTGAGCCTTTCACCTTACAGTCCAGACTGACTGGATCTCCAACTGTAACTTTGATCTCCTCAGGCTTCTCTAAGATCTGAGGAGGCTCTACAAAGCAAACAGACATTTGAGCGTGTTTCTGGGCAGCTTCCTGTAGAAGAATCAGCAGGGTAGGTTTCTCTCAGGTTACCTTGAACTGTGAGAGAAGCAAAGCACTTGTCCTGGCCGGCCTCGTTCATCACCTGGCAGGTGTATTTACCGCCGTGAGACACCTCGCAGGCAGGAATCCTCAGAGTCGCCACATTGTTTTCAAATATCCTCTGAATCTTTGGATCCTCCAGGATCCAGTTCTCATCTTTCTGCCACTGTACGGACAGAGTGGGCGAGCCCACCACCTCACACTGAAACTCTGCTGTCTGACCCAGAACTGTAACACTGTTCTCCATTCTCTTGGTAAATGATGGAGGCTCTGTTAGAGAAACAGTCAGATGTTCAAGTTTCACCTCTAAAGAAGAAAGAATGTGAATTTATAAATCTGAGCAGACCAACCTTTGAGGCTCAGGGTGGTCTTACAGCTACAGCTTCCCACCTCGTTAGCTACAGAACACTGATACTCCCCAACATCCAGCGCATCACACCTGTGCACCTCCAGAATCAAAGTGTCGTTCAGCTGGGAGAAGCCATGTTTGGCACTGGGCTTGATCTCCTTTCCATCTTTGTGCCACGTAATCTCAAATGGACCGGTTCCTGCAACCTGGCACTCAAAACAAGCAGTGGAGCCCCTGACAGCATCGGCTGCACATGCTTCTTTAATGAACGCTGGCGGCTCTGAGACAAGAGATGACAAACTGTCACAAAACTGTTTATGGGACTGAACAACAATCTGTCCCAGTAGAACTGTTTCATCTTCAGGGCCTGTAGTTATCAAACTTTCCTCTTAAGAATGCTGCTAAGAGTGGACTTAAGTGTAAAAAAACTTCTTAGTTAAAAGCTGAGAGTAAAAGCCCGTTATCAAGCCTCTCAGTCTTTAAGCAAAGTGTAAGAGTAATTCTTAAGTGTCAGTCTTGGAGCTGATTTGCGACACCTGGCTGTACCACAAAGCTGATCCTGGATGATGTCGTTAGAAAAAACCCCAGCATGAACCAATCACTGCCACGGATTTCATGTTCAAGTATATTGTTGGAAAAATGTCAAGATAAAACTGTGAAAATCCCAAGATAAGTTTACTTTCAACACGCTAATGTTGTCACCTTGTACTGATTGTAAATTTCATAAAATGTCCTCATTTGCATCATGAAAACAGACAAAAATCTCAGATTTTTATATCAAAAACTCAGCTTTAAAGTTTTTTTATGTCTCAGAGCCTGAGGTCATGTTGAGCTGCTCCCTCCTCCCTACTGTCTGCAGACAACACCTGCTTCACACACACACACACACACACACACACACACACACACACACACACACAC